AAAAAAAAAAAGAAAAAAAGAATTATATTATTTTAAGAATGGTTATAGTAAAATTTTATTTTAGTTTTAGGTGATTCGTTTTTTTGCAAATTTATTATCAGATTAACTATTTAGTCACTAATATACCAACAGTTCAAATATTTGTACCTTCAATAATTTTTTAAATTATTTTATAATTATTTAAAATCAGTAACTAATTTAACTACTTTATTTTTTTTATAATTATTTATGGAATCAAAATTAAATTTTATCAAATCAATTAGGAAACAATTGGAAACGAACTAGAAAAAAATAACAATAATAATGATAAATAAATAGGAAATAAAATTATGTGGAATTAATTAAAGAGGAATATAATTTAACAGCAAAAAATTCATCCTTATTGTTACATAAGCTATAATTGATTTCACGCACATGATTACCCATTGAAATGATAGTATCCTACATACAATGAATATTGAACTAATAAATTCAAGTTATAGATTGTTCGAAAGGTGAGTTCTTGTATATGTTTACCGCACGTAGTCTATAATTATAAACTACAATTATGTACCTTCACTATAAATATATTAATTTTTATTCATAAAATGATTAAGAGAACTTAGATTTTGATGTTTTTGGTACCATGATATAAAATTAAACCACTTACTATTTGGTAAGCATTTTAGCTTGTAATAAAAGTGATCCTGTTTAGCATTTCTCTGGAAAGTGTAAAATATTAATTTTTATTTTTCGTTTCATACTAGTTAGTTATGCTATATAGTTAGTGAAGCTTTAATTGAATGATTATTTCTTAAAATAAAAATGTCTATATTATTTTTAAAAAAATATATAATAATTGTATGACATGGTAATTAGTAATAAAGAATAATTTTCTCAAAATACAATTTATTAAAAATAAATTGTTTTACAGCCAATCTCTTATAACCAAATACTGTCGTTATATTTTTTAGAGTTTGTGCTCATTATCATTTCCTCCAAAATACAAATATGCATAAATATGTATTTGCCAATCGAAGACTTGGATAAGTGACAAATGTTGGCCAACTACATCAGTCGTGTGGAATTGCCTAAACTCAAAACCTTATCATTAGAACCATTGAAGTTACTCAATCACTTATTATTAAAACAAATATTAACAAATATTGATAAAATATTTATTTATCATATTTATAAAAATATTTTCGAAAAAATCCCAAAAAAAAAATTTAAAACATCATAACTCAAGATCTCAATTAGCTAGTTTAATTCTGGTAGCACTTTCGATATCACTTGATTTATTTTTAGATAATTTGAAAAGTCATACACCCATATAGATTTATAGTAATATTCCTAAAATCTAAGCAGATTTTAGCTAAATATGTTAGTGGCGATGATATAGCAATTTCAAGTTTTTTTATTAACTTTTCAACAATTTAACAACGTTAGCTAAAAATGTTTTAATATTTTTCTATAAAATCATTTAAAATTTTTGAAATTCCATGATTTTCCTATTTAAATGAATTTACGATTTTTGTCGAAAACATAGAATAGATTAGTAACTCAAAAATGCTGTAACTCCGGAACTTAAATCTCTCTGTCAATTTTGATAGCATTTTTAGAAAACATTTATAATATATTTCAAACGTTGTTGAATTTCTTCTTTTTTTAAGTCTCATTTAAATTATTTCCTACGTTCCAGTCTTCAAATATGGCTGTCAAAGTTCTTTGATCTGAAAATAATAAACGAGGAGCACTTAATATTGTATATTATGTTTTATTATACGATTACTTATTGCTTATTAATTCGAGTAGGAACTGTATAACATAGTTTATTTCGGAGTTCGAGATCTAAAAATATTTATAAAGGCATATCACTTATTTCATTACCTAACTCAACTGTATCGCACCTTGGTTGTTACTTAAAAAATAATATTGTTGTACTGTGTTTTACATTTAAAATGAATGAGCGTGTACATTTCAACAAAGTACGAGTATACCCATCCGAATTGAAAAATTTCATTGTGAATATACACTTAAATATTTTTTTCACCGAATTATTTAAAAACATTTCTTTTTAGATGGAATTTCCAAAAAATACGAATAAATAAATAAATAAATAAATAAAAATACTAGTGCTGTCACCAATGTTATTAGATTGTTCGTTTAATTATGGGGTGGTTCGGATTTCTAGATTAGATCATAGATTACTTACATACTTACATTTATCAAATTGTTTTTAAAAAAGTAGTTAGTAACAAGAAAAGTTAGAAAAACCAGAAAGACTTGGTGTTTTAGGTAAAAGAAGTTTTAAAAATCAAGGAAGGTACAGTGTTTATCTGTCAGGCACTTAGTCAGAAAATATTCACTAGGTGGCCCCCTCCTCTCAGGACTTTTTTATATTATAAAAAAATAGTTATCAGCATATCATTACAACAAATATATATGTATATAACCTAATAATACCATATTTTATTATTTTGCTCTTCTCTTAATAATTTTAGTTTTCTTTTGGCACATCCACTGAGAGGTGCTATTTTAAAATTACTTTAAATAAGTGTGGCGTGTGCTGAATGTGAATGTAAGTACTCAATCGGAGATCATAATATAATTCAATATTTCTATATGAATCAATATAATGATAACACCTTCGCTCAAAGTATTTTAAAAATAGATATACAAGTATACAATAGTCACTGTCTAGGTATGATAAGAACAACTTGACATTGTAGTATAGTACCGGTATTTAGCTATAAATAGCAATTATTTCCTAATCAATCGTTTAAATTTAGTTACAAGTTACATTACTTAGATTATAATTAAAACCCGATGTATTTGATTTTATTTGCGTTATATTTAGGCAATATTAAAAATTTGGTAAAAATTAAAAGCAGTCATATAATAATGAGTCCCTCTCAATACTTTAGGTGGTCCGGCCTAAGGCCGGACACATATTAGAGTGGACCAGGCACACCCTGGCCCTCCTTTAGCTACGTGCCTGTTGTCTGTGTTGATCCTAATTTGTTGCGTGCATCAACATTTGAAATCATTTAGTATCAATTGAAAATTATGAATAATTCATTAGATTTTAAAAACTATATCGAGCGAAATTCGGTGGATACACAGAGTAGTATATTTAATGACAATTTATTATTTACGATAGCTCCCATGCAGATAAAAAGGAAGAAGAAATGCATAAATATTGTCAATATTAATATCTTACTACAAGTTTGCCTAGCAGAATAAAACCATAAATAAATTAAACACGTAACAATCTCATAGAATTTGTACATATAACTTTCCCAATTGAGGTATATTGTTTAACTTATAAATGTAATAGTCAAACATAGTCTATAGTGTAAAAACATAATTTCAAGTTAATTCGTGGTAAAATTGTTGATAAAACAGTATTTAGTTATAATACAACAGAACATTAAACTTAATGACGCACAATGTGCATAGATAACAATGTGCATAATAACGTAAAACAAAAATTTAAAATAATTTCAGTAACATTTCGCGATTAATCAATTCAACAAATTGTAATACATTTCACGTAAACATATACATATAATTCAGGTACATAAATATCAAAACATTTAAATCCAGCCATTCTATACGCCAAATGAAATATGTATATAAATGAATGAGTTATTAGGAAATCGATGGATATCGCAAGAATAGTGAGGACGTATTCGTTTCAGTTGTATATCAAAACGCAATCCATAACCGTTACAGTAGTTCAGTAAGCTTCAACAGCATTTAATTTGATTTTTATTCCTATTGTTGTATTTGTGACCGGTAGGTACCGGGCTGCAATATGTGTTGCATGTTTTTTCGATCTTGGGCGCCACGTGGAGCATAGAAATCGGAAAACGGAACGAATTGTCATGGACGCGATTGCTATGAATATGGTTGGATATACCATATACATAGATGGTAACAATAATATTGCCGAGGAGTACTCGTACGTAAACATCAATCATTCTCCGGAACACGTGCGCTTTGTGTTCGTAAGGATAACGCTTTGCTGTACAAAATAGGGGATGGAGGTGGGGAGCGAGGGCGGGTCGGGCGTTTGCCCACGAATGCGGAACGCGCATGTGCAGCTGCGGTCACGTTATGGCGCACAGACGGGATTTGATCTTCATCGGTTTGCGCGCGGCGGCGGCTGCCTGCTGAGACTGTGGTCCGACTGAGCTCTGGTTCTGCTGTCCCACGAGCCTGCGCTGCTGCAAAAGCCTGTTGACCACTATCCGGTACGTGGCCACTACGTTGCTCCTGGACCCGAGGGGACCGTGTTCGTCCAGCATTGTCCTGGATATGCCCAGCACTTCCAGCGCCTGTCTGGCGTTCGACTCGGTGTCGGTGACTTCAACGTTACCGCCGTCGCTGTTGGTAAGCGGTGTCGGGTAAGCGCACCAATGGCCGTACACAGAGTTGTTGTTGAACCGACTCTGGTACGCGGACGCCTCTTTCAGCCAGTCGGACTTCAGCACGTGGTCGATGCAGTAACGGTCGTCGGGTGACGTGTTCAGCATAGATTCTGCGAAAGACAATATTACGTACCCGTATGAGTATCAAAAGTTCTCCGAGACGGTGCTTTTCGATACGTCGTCCACGGACATTGTGTTCAAAGTAAAAATGTCAACCATGCAACCAGTGGCGCACACAGAGAGGGTCGAGTGACACCCCTCAGAGAATTGGTGGATGGCTAGTTCTGTGTGAACTTGTATGAATATTTGTTTAATTTAATACTAACCAATTTTTCAGCTATCCAAATCAATATACTAATTATGTTTACCCTAGAACTAAAGCGTTACATGAGAATAAATAGTAGGGCTCAATCCCAAAAATTATGCTGTATAAACTTATAAATTAATACCCAGAAAATTGAAAAATAATTAATATTAGGTTTATTTAAAAAAAAATTTTTTTAGTATCTTTGTTAGTAAGAAAAAACCAAAAATACTTAAAAATAAGAGTTATATTATGTCTAAACTTAGATTTTACTGGTGAGGGTAGGTGGGTACCTCGAAATACATATTTTCGACATCCTTGTCAAAAATCTTCTGTGCGCCACTGCATGCAACCAAACTCCGACGAAAGCAATGTCTCGTCTCATATATAGTTCGAAAATCAATGCAATCAATAATTTAAGTTGCTTGTTACTTCGTAAGCGTATCATATAAAAAATAGGTCCTCGGTTCATAGTTTTAGCTAGTAGTCCGTGGTTGTATACTAATTGTGAACCACTGAGTTCTAATGAATCATCCTAATGCATTTAGATAAAAAAATAAAGGAAAAGCATGACGATATTGCGTATTATACGAGTATATTATCCAGTCCATTTTCCGAATTTATGTGACTATATACATACAGCTAGATCAGATTTAGATCTGATATTCATGATCAATTGTTATACCAATATTTAAATAAAAATATTTTCAAAAGAAAATCATAATTATGTATAGAGTACTAATTTATGAAATTTAAACATATCCATACGTATTTAGAGCTACTTTGACAACTAGTTACAACATTTTATACTATTACCTATAAGTGATTTTAACGATTGAGATATCCATGAAGGAGTCTCAACCTGCCCCGCCAGTATAGACCTTCTGAGTCCGGCCATATTGTCACCAAGGAAGGGCATTGTGGCAGTAGTCATAAAGAACAACAGTACTCCCAACGACCACACGTCAACTGGGCGACCAACGTAACGCTGGTCTAGGAACAGTTCGGGCGCTGCGTATGGCGGAGATCCACAAAACGTCTCCAATTTTTCGTTGTCTGAAAATATAAAAATTCTATTTAAAAACATATATTCTATATTGTAATTTTAAAGCTATTTGATCAAATAAATTAAATTTTCTCCGTTTCCGGCAAGAATCGTATGAGATAATAATATGTTCATTTAAAAAAAAAGATTAAAAAACACAAATCTCGAAAATATAAACGTTTATTTTATACTGCATAAACAATCCTTAGGCACGCATAGGGTGTTTACTAATTACTAATTAGTCATTCACCTAACTCGTTTACAATTTAGCTTCCATAAACTATGAATCGTTACTTCTAGATTTCCGAATTGTCCAACATAATTGTGTGCCTAATGTTTCTATAATAGTTTAAAACAACAATTATGATAATTTTAAATTGAAAATAAATGGTCATATATTTTAAATTAGAGCTGTAACAATCTCAAATATTGTTCCCATAAATTATTTCTGTTAAATAATTTTTTTTTTCATATTTTATTGCGTTATTATAAAAATGGGCTAAGTAATATTAAGAAAATGTCATCTCACCTTGCACATTTAACATAAAGGAAACAATAGACTGGTAATTTTTAAATTATATGAATTATATTAATTATTTATTTACAACCGCTGAAGGCCAGTATGAGATCTATAGTTAAACATAATTTAAAAGTTTTATTTCAAACTTGTTTTAACAACTACTTAAATTTTATTTTTTTTTCTGAATAAACATATTTCAACATATATTTTTAATTTATTAATATTTAAATTAAATTATTTTCACGAGTTCTTCAAATTAACTATACACACACTTGCTTTATTTAAACGATTGCAAATTTAATAAAATTGTTAAAATTACTTATGAAATCGTTTATTATTAACTAATCGTATTGCACTGATTTTTAATTACAGATACTCAAGGAAATGAGAACATTGATTGTTATAATATTTCTAATAAATAACATATTGAATAAAATATTAATGAAATAAAATAATAATTGTACTATTTGTACGTCACTCTATATATTATGCAAAATATAAATACTACTTTGTGCAATGGAAATGTTATTAAAAAAAAGTTAATAGTTATTAAAATTAATTATTGTACTCGTATATCATTAAACCTTATACTTTGTGTAACTTACGAATAGTCTTTAAATAAAGGCGATACTAAATTATGTTCCTATATTATATTTGTTATATTGTGATTAAATGTGCAGTATTAGTTATTGAAAATCATAAATGGAATCATATAATAATATATTTAATTTATATATATATATGGAAAGTTTTGGACATAGATTCACCCCATAATTAAATTGGTCAATAATTAAATTGGTATGTACTTGAGACGGTAATGCTGAAACCGAAGTCTCCTAATTTGGCGACGCCTCTAGAGCTTAAGAATATATTTTCTGCTTTGATATCCCTGTGAATGATGTTCCGGTCATGCTGAAAAAAATAAAAATAAATTAATTTATTAAACCACAATAAAACAAAAATAGATAAATTTAACTAAATCATTCACCAGGTGTTTGACGGCCAACACGATTTGGGCGAAAATGTTTTTCGCTTCCGATTCATGCATTCTGCCTTCGGTTATCAACCTTTTAAATAGCTCTCCAGCCGCCGCATGTTCCATAATTAAATAATACTTTGTGTATGTTTCGATTACTTCGAACAATCTAAATTAGATTCACATTCAATATAATATTGATTCCACAATAATGTATTGATGATGAAGCATATATTTTATATAACAATCGAATGAAAAAAAGGAAAAGTAAATTCAGGAAGAATCATAAAAACAGGCCATAGGATTTCAATGACACCACATAACTACTACTACAAAATAATTCATTTAGTAATTTTTACCGAACAATGTTTTGATGGTAGATTGATTCCATAACTGAGATCTCCCGAGAAAGCATTTTCTTCGCTTTCGCCGTCAACTTGGTTTTGTCTAATATTTTGATTGCTACTCGTTCTGAAAATAATAAAAGCAAAATATTATTCTTTCGTTATATAAAAATACACTATGTAGATAAAAATCACTTTATATATCATTACTACAACCAAAATACTTATAAAAATTAACTACTAATTAAATTTTTATATATTTTTAAAAATAAAATTGTTTTGAAAAATATGAAATTAAAAGAAAAATATGTAGTGAAAAGAAAAAAGTACAATAAATAATGACGATGAAAATAATAATTGCTTTTGGCAAAAATCTGAATTATAAGAATAAAAAGAGTATACATTTTAAGAGTACTTTGAAAATGCAAAATTTAAGCTAGAAAATTAGTTGAGTTTGGTTTTACAGGATAAGTTTTAAAAAATAACGAATTAATTTCTTGTAACATTAACAAATATTGAAAAATTTGTAAACCATTGTTATTTAAAATAAATTAAACATGTTTTATGATAGTTTTAACATGAATATGAATCACATAATAGGATTGAGCTTAAAATTATATTAATAATAATCTTAATTACAGAAAATAAATTTCAATTTATAATAAAATAGACAAATATAGAAGTTACAGTATATAATTGATTACAGAAAAAATGAAGTTATTAAACACCTATTGAATACACAAGAAAAAAAATATTGTGATCAATTCAGTTTATAAAAATGAAAAAAAAAGATAAAATTAATTAGCAAATGCCTAAACATGGCCTATTCAAAAAGTGACGAACAAAAAAATCAAAATTATTTATTATATTTTTAGTAGACAATGAAATATGAGATAGGGATCTATACATATACATGTACTAAATAATATGTATTTATAAGTGCGTATGTTCGTGTCGTTTAAGACAAGTGATATTATTTATTAAAGGTAAAATTGAAATTAACAATATTTCTATATATTTTAAAACATCGATTATAGTGTCATATTTGATAAATATCATCATAGTGTTTCATTTGATCCGCTTAATCAGCCAAGGGCCAAGGCTAATGGTAATTATGTTAAAACCTTACCTTTCGTTAACTCATGGTATCCAGTTTTAACATGAGAAAAATTGCCTTTGCCTAGTTCTCCACTCAATTTGTATAGCCCAATTCTTTTTCCCACAGCCGTATCGCTTTTCCATTTTCTGTCATTTTCCAAATTATCTATCGCTCTTCGGTACGCTAAAATACACATTGAAAACAAAATATACCAGAAGAATCACACTATTAGGATCACGTTATATTTTCGATTAAGGATAATATGGATGTATTTGTTACAAGTATCACAGCGTAATGCAAACAACTTACCAGTAACCTTTACCAGAGATGCCTTCTCTTCGGAAGACTCGCACAAAGTCATCGTCGCAACGTCATCGCGTGTTCTCTGAAATAAATCAAAATACATACAACATTATTGTATTTTTACCATCCCTTCTCATATACATAATAAATGTATGTACGTTATGTATATGCGTGTAAACACAACAAAATTACAAGACAAATTCTCAACATTGTAAATAAAAAAAATCACATTGATGTTTATTGTATTCACACGACAAGCGATTCTCATTTATTCCAATAAAATCACAATTTCATAGGCTTAACGAATTATATTCAACACTTTTATTGAAACGATGTACAATATATTTTCGAAGAATTACCATATTCGAATTCAATATCCAATATTCCGAAGTGTCTTAAAAATTATGTTAATAATGCTTTGAAACTATTACTATAAACTATAACAATAAAATAATAATAATAAATAATTGGTTAAATCAAATTAAACTATTAACAGCATAATATGCTTTAAAAAATAGTCAATCCACGACAGTGTTTTAAAGGTTTAGATGATTTTTCCAACCACATTAAAATAATTCAAAATAAAAAAATCATATTGTAACATTTATAAACGTAGTGCCCTACGAATATTTACTGATTGAGATTTCTTTTGCATTATATTTTTCGAATTCTAATTTTAAAATTTATATTTCACTAAAGATTATAATTGAATATTTTTATAAATAAACATAAATATTTCAATAAAAATAAAAATTAATTTTTGGTTTGTAAGTTTTTAAAATTTGAAAAATAACACTTTCATACGATTTATTTTACAAGAATTTTGAATGTTATTAAAAATATTTATTTAAAAAACATTCATAACAATGTAATAATAAAACAACATATTTAATTAATCTAGTCTTTGATCATATAAAATACTTAAAAAAACTTCATTATTTTTACTAAAATAATAAATGTGTCACAATTAGTAAATCTTTGTGAGGTATCTAATAATATGTTTATAAGAAATACATGTCTGTACTATAGTTACTGATCTTTAATCTTTATAATCTGAAATTAGAGAAAATGTTGATATAGGTACATTAATACGAAGATAAATAGAACGAAAATGATAGTTAATTTATGGAGAAAATTCAAGTTAAAAAATTGCATAGGTATTAAAAAACCATTATGTGGATAATTTTATAAAATAGAAAAAATAAAGAAACAAAATGTTGGAAATTTAATGCAACTAAAATGTATATTTATTGGTGTCTTTTTGAAATATTTAAATTATCTAAAATATATTGCCTATGAATCTTATATTTATTTTGAAAATATGAACATAATGTAATGATCAATAATGATTAATAATACAGGTTTTAAATGTTATTATAATTATTATAGTTGCTGTAACATGTTTTATTTTTCATTTTATAAAATCTATATTTCTTTTGTGATAAATGCGTGATAATCGGTTATCAAAAATTTATTATAGTTGGCAGTTGTATATACTGTGTAGACGGTAGAAGTTTTAGTGTATTTTCAGTATATGTGCTGGTTAATTCTTACAAATAGCAGTAGCAACTATTGTCTCCTTTAGGTACCTACACAGTTTACAACAAATCATAAGTGTGTATCCATTTAACGTGAAAATGTTTTGTTAAATTATAACTAATAGTTAAAGAAATGTGAGTGTTAGAACTTGCTTGAAACATGAACAAAAATATCTCATTTAAATCGTTAAAACTTAAATTATTACAATATTACAATATATTGAGTATTAATCGTCAAGGGACTTCGTGAAACTAATATGGCACTTTCTAAAAAATTTAATAAACGTTACTTACAACGGGGTTTCTCCAGCAAAGTTTTGACATTTTATCCGCAGAAAAATGTAATGTTAATTAAAACGTTTAATTTAGTTTACACGTAAAAACATTTCGATACACGACGAAAAAAAAAATTGTGAATTAAAAAAATTTCTCGAGATATTTATAATATTGTATGTAAAATATTGCATTAAAAGTTGATCCTAATAACAATTTCTTAGGCAAGTAGAGTAAAACGTCAATCGCATACCGATATGGTGTAAGCAATAATCATAATATGATCGTTGCCCTGCTCGGGTCCTATGTTATCTACAAAAACGTAGCTGACCCACCGTGCGGGTAAATAGGAGGAACCGTATTGTTATCATCGACCAGATTATGTGCTATTTTTATTCCGGCGTGTACTACATATGCCGATGGGTATAGTATGATAATAAAAAAAAAAAGCAAACAATGATCGTCAACAAAATTTGCGCCCATATTCCACCCGCATCACCTGTTATCATACACAACATTGTACCGCTCAATTGCGCGCTGTTACGTGAGTTCTGACCGTGACTGGTAGTGCAGCAGCCCACAGATGAGTATTTGTGTATACAACCGATCAAAATAATTAATTTTTTTTTAATTTTTTTTTTTTATTAATATTATCGAATAAAACACGACATTTGATACAAATATATTAAAAAACTTTAATCAGACTCATACTCTGCATACTCTTCATCTTCGTTGTCGCTTTCGTCATCTTCTTCTTCATTATCTTCCAAATTTTTTTCACTGTCGTCTTCAGTTGGTGGTATTGGTGGTGCGCTTGCGATAATCAGATTGACTGCCCTTTTTGAAAAGGGCTCAGTTTTCTTATACTGCCTTGGCTTGCAATTACTTAGTTACAAGTAACCTCTTCCGATAACTGACCAATTGGTAGAATTGCAAGAGTTATCACTGTTGCGCCGTGTATCAAAACGTTATGAAAAGTTGGTGTCATGGGATGCCAACCATACAGATCTACATATATTTTTGCAGTTTTGAGTTCAAAGATGTCAAATTTAACAGTATCAATACTTTTGCCAAATAAAAAAAATACTAAAAATTTAAAATTGTACTAACATTTTTTAATAAAAAAATAATTTATTAAAAATCATAAAACCTGCAAAATTCTTCTAAAAATAATCTTTACATATGAAAAAGATTACAACCTTTTTATTGCACATAAAAAAAATTCATGTTACAGTTTAATTACTGTCAGACCTTAAAATTTTAAAAAAATACCAAATAACCATGCATTTAAAATATTTTTTGTTGTTTTTCTAATACTATTATTATACTATTATCTAATACAGCGGTTCCCAATTTTTTAGTAGTATGGACCACCAATTTCGTAGAAAATATTTAAGGTCCACCAATAGTTACAATATTTATATAATTATAATGTGCACATACGTCAGTTATTACAATTTATTTATTAAAAAAAAATTATTTATCAAAAAAAAAAAAAAAAATACATTAAACCAGAATATTCAAGAGTTAAACAATTTGATTTGATTTTTGATTGTCCGCCACGAGAGAATCAATATGTGGATTAAAACTGATGTTTTAAAATGTAAATGTAAATGTAATAAAATTCAGTTTATTCCTATATTTATTTTTAAAAAAAATTAAAGTAGAAAAAGCTCGATCACACAGACACACAAGTTATCGAAATATAACCCATCAAGTTTTTAAATTTTAGAGATTGCTGGAAAGTCTTGCGAATATTTAACTAGAATGATAATAATAGTGTAGTTTTAAAAAACGGTTTTAGAGTCTAATCACGTGAAAGTTCAATCAACGAATCTTCTTCACTTGCTGATATTTAATATTTTAAAAATATATGTTAGTAATGTTAATATAATATGATTCATGGTCTAGTACTACCCTGCTCGCGACCCACTTGTGGACCGCGGTCCATGGGTTAGGAACTACTTATTTAATTCACCAAAGTACCCTCTAAACATTTTTTTAAAAAAAAATGTATCGTTCATATAATAGAATCTATTTTTTTGTACGAAAAGCTTTTTACGGGAGTATAAAAATTTAATTGAGCATCTTATTCAAATCATAATAATTTCTTTGTTTTGTTTAGAATCAAAAAGGCGGATGTTGGCGGACAATTTTATGATAGATTATAATTGGTATTAGTCTTAGTTTAATGTTCATAAAAAAAATATTATCTGACAATGCCATGGTTATAAATAAAAACACGATGATTTAATAATTTTTGCTTAAAATTAATAACCATAAAAGATTTCAAAAACAAAGTTCATAAAAGCATATATAAGCAGTAAATTAATACATTTTCATTGTAAATAGGGTATGTACCTTTCTTTTCTAATCTCAAAATGTATTTCTTCCAACTCAACCATGCAAAAGCAAAATATCAAACGAAACAAATAATTGAAATGAAAGTACCAAAAACCAATAATATGCAATTCGGACGATTTCTGGATTACGATTGATTATTTGACGAGTGTCTATCAAATTTTACTGATAATCATTTGACGAGAAAGTTAAATAGCTTTAATAATAGTAGTAATAACAACATTTTTGATTTACTTGCCGATTGGAACTTATGATCAGTTGTATTATACAATTACTTATGTGCGATTTTTATCCTGATAAATGCCGAAATTGGATAACAATTATTTTTTGTCAGATGAATAAAACCGTGTAAAATCATTTGTAAAAAAATTAATCGAGTATGATTCATGGTTGTTTTTTGGAAATTGTTTTCGACATTTTCGCCTAATAAATTTATTAACGAATTTCGGCAATGTTAATAGTATTATAATGTATATTTGAGCAAAGGTCATAGTTGTCGTATGTACAATGTACATAATATCATATTAATGTTATTGACCATTACTAATGAACCGAATCGATTTCATTTTTAAGTTGAATCTATCAAAATATATTTTTTTGATTCGAAGTGCAAGGAGGAACATATTTATTATACCATGATGTATGTGATTTATTTTGTGTCTGTGCACACGATTATAACCAGAAGGATTGCTTCAATCATCACTCAAATATCATATTATCTACAAAGGCGATTTCTAAGAATGTCATCTTATGAATTTCCATTCTTCTCTTAGTAAGTGTGAACAACTGACCCAATTTTGGAGCAAAAAAAAAATTCAAAATTTGGAAAAATCAAATTTTTGTTTTTATGCGATATTTAGTGAACATTTTAAAAAAATTCCCTAAATATGGCATACATCTCTTACCAATCAATAAAAAAACTGTGGTTAATTTGAAAAAAAAAATGACGAGTGTTGGTATATTGAATTTTGACATATTATCATAATTATCAATGAATCTTAGATTAGGGAGGTTACTCAGTGGCAACACCTAACAAGTAATATATAAACAAATAAATAACAGTAAGTTTTAAAATGTAAAACATAGGTAAGAGATTTTGTCGTTATTACTGAATACTTATATTAGCATTTTATAGGTATTTTATAATTTTTGAAATATTTTAATGATATTTTTCCTGATTATGGGCACTTGAATATTAAAATATAATTTTTCAGTTAAAATTTAAGCCTATTTGATTAAAAAAATTGGTTTTACTATTCCATCAACATTAACAACTATTTTTAGTAATAGAAACTGATCCATTCGACCATTAATTTAGTATAGGTATAGAAAATTTACGTAGATCGGTTCTAAATAATTTATAATACAGTTCATAATGAAACTAACTATTGACCTTAAACTAAGAACATAACCTAACCTAACATAAACTTAAAGAGCAATTGTTTTAAAAAAATTGTGTTCATTGTAGGTATATGGTACGTGATAATATAATTAAATAAATAATAACAACTTAGGTATTTATTATTAATTTAATAGCTTATGGATAACCTTATTTTCCAATCCAACACTTGTTTCATCGAACTGTTATTATTTGTTATTCAATATTATTATAATTCTAATATATTATTTATTTTAATTAGTAAATGAATGATTATGTATTATTAATTTTAATATTTATTTAATAACATTTTTTTATATAATAATTTTAAAATGCTTCACTGTTAAGATATTTAGATATAATTGTTTTTGATTTTACTTAATCAATTAAATATAAGCTATTTAAATTATCTTAAAACAAACAAGGCTAATAATAATAAAAATAAATACACATTTAGTTAATAACTAAACAAAATATTTCATCAAATAAATGACCTTACTCCGAGTTTATCGTGCACAAGTTGAATATCAATAACAGTTTATTGTTTAAATAATTTGAATTTTTTCATTTCAGTGAACATCGAACTACAGTTGTGTAACAAAACGTGGGTACTTTGGTAGCTTTCCAAAATGTCATACATATAATATATACATATAAATAAAATAATAGTAAAAAAAAATTAAATACAGATGAATGACCGGTTATAAAAAAAATATTAGATTTTTATTAATTTCATATAATTTCCTTTCATAGCCTACTAATAAAATTTATTTTGATAAATTGAATTCAACAATAGAGTATATATATAATTTTAATTAGTGTATTTTTACATATTTATATGTTATTATATGATTATTTCTTTGTAATAGTCTAAAAAAAAATGTATTTAAAATGTAATCGTAAAACCGAAAACTATTAATAGTAATTAGTGAGTTACAATAAACCATAATCATGAACAAATTAAAATATGAAATATTAAGTATATTTTATTTAGTTCTAGATTTTGTTTATTACTACTACAACTTAAATTACATTATATTAAATTATATTTACATTATATTTAAACCGTTTCAAAGTTTATCATTTTAACTATTCCCATTACATTTTAAAAATATTTTAAAAACTATATTTTCTAGTGTCTAATGAATTATGAAATCTAAATCGATTTTTCAATGTGACTATTTCTATTGGTTTTAAATTTATAATTGCATGATAAATAATATCATAAGGTCACGGGAGTGAAGAAAATGCACTAAAAATATAATCACAATTAATAAAATCAAAGTATCAGGATACTTAGTTAATTTGATTTTTTCAATTGGAAATGGATTCATATTACTCATAAACTGTCGCAACTATATATTTATGTATATATATACGTGTTTATTTTTAACATCAGTAACGTAACGCGTTTAGAAGTACAGCATGCGTAAAGTTATTAATGCATGTATGCGACCGAAATTCGGAAAAAGAAATGTTTTTTTCCCACTCGTGTTCGTACATATTTTTTAATATAAAAACACCTCGGTCA